GACGACCCAATTTCCCTTCGCCTCCTGAGAACCAAGGAAAAAAGTGTCTTCTAATTTATTTATTTTTTTAGTCTCAAGCTGAAAAAACAGTTCCCCTCATCCAATCCTAACACTTGAGATATCACTGGAAAGGCCAGGATGTCCTCTGCAGCTGTCCACTGCAGAGTACATACATGATAAATGAAATCAGGAGCTTCGGGGATTAATAAAGTCTATGAATCTGTAGGGGGCAGCACTGCACCTGGTATCCTCAAACATCACACAAAGAAGAAACTCCACATACACCCACAGGCCAGCCGCCTGCTAGTTAGCAGAAAACATAAACACCAGGACCTCTTTAGGGCAGATTGGGCTGTTTTAGCAGCCTCAGCTTTAGTTTTCTTCGCTGCGATTTATCGGAGAACAACTACACAATGCGGTGGGTGAGCTAAATGTGTTATTGTGCGCCATGTCTGTTTGGATCTCGGAGTACACCAAGGCCTTGGAGTTGCCCTGCTAACGGATGGTAAGACCCATTGCACAGGTTTTCAGTCCGCGTTAAAACCTAAATGTAATGTTGTTGCGTTGAAGGGTCGTCGTACGCATTGCTCTGAACGTTTTACGCATGTATTTTAACCTTATTGTGTGGTTTTTTTTCGCAATGAAATGGCTCAGGAGCAGGAATACATTGATGCGCAGACCGACAGAGTTTGAACAGTAAAAGGGTGTTTTTGTTGTTGTTGTTGTTTGTGCTCAAATGTCGGAAGCTGGTGGGATAAACGCACTGGTTTACAATTATTAAAGCCTTCTCTTGCTTTCGGCGTGTAAACTGTTCTTTACTCAGCATTTGAATCAAACAAAAACTCCACTTTTGTGTGTTTGTTGGCCTTGTACGCCCACAATGTTTGTAGTTACTAATGTGCCCAGTGGTGGGCGGTACTGCCCAATGTAAACAGTGAGAGACAAACAGGAGTCTGGTGGATTATATTCTGTATAAACCCAGCAGACACAGAAAAGCTGGACATTTAGAGACGAGTTTTCCAGTCAAGGAAACACCTGGAAGTGGATTAAAATAGCCATATATTATGGAAATAATCTGTGTTGTCCTGGAAAGTTTTGTATTTTAGTTTTATTTTATTAATGTAGTCAGTTTGCCCCAAAAAATGCTGCTTATATGACTGTTTATAAGCAAGTGCTGTCCTGTATTGTCACAAAAACTCCTGGAAAAGGTCCTGGAATATAATTTATTATTGAATAAGAGTGGGAACCCTGCAGACGTGGCCAGCAACAAGCGGAAATTAAATTGCTGGATTTGTAAATGAAGTTTGGCATCATTTAACGTATATGTCTAGTGACATTCTGTGTTGTTTTTATTATACTGCCAGCAAAGTCCATGTAAAGTCCAAAACCAACAGTGGATTGATCCCACTGACATGTATTGTCTGTGTAGGTTAAGTCAGTTATAGCTCCCTAGTTGTCTAAAAAACTATTAAAACCCATCAATGACTCACTGTTACACAGGTTAGTTACCTTGCAGCAGGCCACTGTAGATTACTTTCAGTTAGTCTTACTTGAAAAACACTACACTGACCATCTGTTTCAGTAAAAATGACCTCTTTTTTAAAAAAGGAAGCTTTATAATTGTGAGTATTATTGTATTTTATTGAATTTACAGGTTTGGGACTGAGTATACAGCCATTGTAGAGAAGTCAGAAGTTATTAATTGATGGACTAACACATTGTTGGTTTTGGTTGTTTCAGGGGATTTGTTCTTTCTTCTTCTTTGTGGCCAAGCGTTGGTTTGTTCACTTCATGGGAAGGTACAATTGATGCCTTCAGGGTATCTTTATGAGCTCCTATTTACAATTTCATTTCTTATTCAGAAGAGAACTTAAAAAAAAAAACAACCTTTTAATAATGTAAATGTTTCAAGAGCTCATCTGTACTTTGCTCTATTAAAGTGCCTTTGGAAACAAACAGAGTTAATTAGCGTCATTTAATTTCAAGGCGGTGTTAATCATAAAAGTGCATGTTGTTGTTAAAGCTGACCTGTTCCTCAGAAATGAACAATGACGTAATCCTGCAGTCGTATGCAATAATAAAAAAGATCCAGCGCCACAACATTAATTTGCTCTTCACTTCCCACACATAACATCTCAACAAGGTACCTTATGTCCCTTTATCTGTGTGTTGCACAAAAGCTGCATGATTGCATGAGTGTTGCTAATTAGCACAGTAATTACTCACAGCAGTTCGTCTGAGAGAGAAGCTTCTTTATAGGGAATATTTCATTCAGTTCAACTTGAGTACACTTAATTAAAATATGTGAAAGAGCCCACACTGGGTTTATTCCACTCATCATGCAGTATGATAGATAATTATCCTGTCAGTCAGACTGTTCTGGTGAAGTCTACAGCTCAGAAGGGATTAACTAGTTTACATTTGTTTTGATTTTGTTTGATAAATGTCCACTTTTCTTTCATACTTTGGACCTCATCTTACTTTAAACGTTGAGAATGAATGATGTTGTCTCTGAAGCTCTTGAAACGCACAGAGCAGCGCCTGGGAGCACATCAGCAGGCAGCAGTGTGGTGTATGCTAAAATGTCTTAATAATCTTAACCTGCGTCATTGTTTACTCTCCACTCAGCCCATGATTCAGCTGGAGAAACCGGTGCTGGCTGGGACCATGCCGGTGGTATGGCCCACCATCCTGGACCTGGGCAGGGATGAGTGCAAAAGAATTCTCCGTAAACTGGGTAAGGTCATACAAAACATAGGACCATTAATGTATACAGCATTTTATGAAACTCAGCTGGAAAAAAGACTTTTAATCAGCCAAAAAAGTTTATATCTGAGTTTATCAGATTGAAAAAGGTTGGCCATAAACATGCGTGCTTCTGTTTCCCAGAGCTGGAGGCTTATGCCGGGGTTATCAGTGCCCTGCGAGCCCAAGGAGACCTGACAAAGGACAAGAAGGATCTGCTGGGAGAACTCACTAAAATCCTTGGGTAGCTATTTCCCACATATTCTAAAACATTATGATTGAGAGAAACACTTTCTCCAATTGTTGGACACAAACTTTGCTTTATATAACATGTGCTGTGCCCTTTTGTTCACCCCCCCCTCCCCCATCCTCCCAGTATCTCAACAGAGCGCCACCGCGCAGAAGTACGCAGGGCGGTGAACGATGAACGCCTCACCACCATCGCTTATCAGTAAGTGTATAACTGTCCCGAACATGTAGGAGGGTCAGTTGGCATGTGCAGCACCTTACAGTATGAGGAGTAACAAATGGAATAAGCAAAGGAATTTTATGTGTCCATTTCCCAGCATGTTCATTTCAGCAACAACAAGTAAATAAAATGTGGATGTTCCTAACCAGGCCTTTTTCCCGAATGAGGCATTTTCCGATTAAGACATGTGGGATATGCCAATATTATTCAGGTTTTAGGAACATTCTTTGGCCATGGATACAGATCATTTGGCATATGCGTCTCAGTTGGGGTTTTTACCACAGATTGCAACACACAGCCTGCCTGTTTACAGTCATCTCTGTGTTTGTTAACAAACCAACTAGCCAAAGGTTTGCACAGCTTGAGGAGAGATGAATGCACAAAAGAAAAGCCCACGGAGAAACACACCAACTTTTAAACATTATGAATGACTTGGATATCAGCAGGTTTCTGGATGTGTGCAAGTGTCGCAGTGCCAACCTTTTTTTGAGAAGGTGGTTTAATGAATGATGGAGGGAGGCTGTGTTTGCCACCAGTGGAAAATGGAAAATTCTTTTGATTACTGGAATATTCATTTTCAGTTGCCATGTATAAAGCTAAGTAGGAATATAGGTTTTTTTTTTTTTTTTCAGAAGAAGGGGGAAAAACGGGAATATTTTATGCATGTAAACCTAGTCAGTATGAGTGATTGCTGATTTTCAGAGTGTATGGAAATGAATAGAAGGCAGGAGAGACACAGTTAATTATAATTTCCCCAATCATGGCCTCATATGCTCTGGCACTAGTGTTACAGGTTTTCTATACAAAATTCCCCTGCCACTAGATGTCATGCTAGAGAACAGCATCTCAGACCAGAACAACAGGCACTTTGGTTAACCATTGACAAAACCAATAATTTTACCTAGCAGGTAATTGTAAAAGCACACTTAAAGCTGGACTGAAACTAAATAAAAACCATCTGTTCCAACAAGCGTCCTGAATTCACCAACACAGTCGCTCTCCTAAGTATTTGGTTTTGTTATTGTAAATTTGTATCTCTATCTTTCCTTCAAACTAGGTTGGCTAGGTCTACTACCAACTGGAATTGTAGACATGAATGTCTTTGTACTGAACGTTTTTATCTTTTTCAGCATGTCAGGTCCGAACAGCTCGTCTGAATGGTCCATTGAAGGACGCCGGCTTGTTCCTCTGATGCCGAGGCTGGTCCCTCAGACAGCCTTTACTGTGACTGCTAATGCTGTGGCCAGTGCCACAGCCAATCAGAATGCCTCCCTTCTGTTGCCAGCTGAAACCGGAAACAAAGAAGGTGGGACAGCGTCACTTAACATCCAACTAAGAGCGTATTGAAACAGATATTTATATTCTATAACAGACATTGAATGACATGTTTCATTTCCTCCCTGCAGTGGTTGTATGTTACTCCTACACAAGCACCACCTGCACCTCCACAAGCGCCACAGCCACCAGCGGCACCATAGGGGCAACTGTGAAATCACCACGACCACCCAGTCCTTCCTCCAACGTGGTGGTGCTGCCCAGCGGGAGCACCGTCTACGTAAAAAGTGAGTGTCAGCAACATCCAATCAATCTTGCCCATTTATGGTTGATTGAAGGAATGTAGGGAAAACTTGATGATGCCAGTTATGGAAAGTTAAATAAAACAGACAAAGTATAAGTTGAATTACATGCTGGAGATAAATGCTTCGTCAAGTTAGTTATGTATGAGTAGAAGTAAAAGAGGGGGCGCAGTTACTGTCAATTACGAAAGTATTATCAGAGGAATAGTGACGGGCACGGTAGTTCTTTTACTGAAGCACTAGGAATTTTTGATTAAAACGATTTTTTCAAAAGATTTCTTGATGAGCTCCGACTGCGTATTCCCACTTTGAACTGAAACACAGCTGTGAAGGATAAGCCACTGAGCTGAGAATTTAGTTTGCAAACTGAAAGCTCAAGTCCTACCCTATTATACACAGCAGATATATTTTCCCTACACAACTGAGAGTATACAGTCTATGAGAGGATCTGAGTCTGATATACGTTCACTGAATTAATTACTGCACCGTTCTCTCACACTGAAAGGATCTGAGATTGTCTAAGGCTCAGCCACTTCTTTTTTCATATTGCATGCTGCTAATTATTAAATCAATTATTTGATACTACTTCAAGACATGAGGGAGAGGGAGAGGAGTGTACTTGAGTGACTGAGTGTCACTCAGAGCTCACGACATGTTCACTGTGTGTAGTACATTCAGTGAGTGAGGATCCATGTGAGTGAATCCTGGCATGTTCGCTTGCATCTGACTGGGAGCTCAACTGTACATGAAGCATTGGCAAACAACCCAACACTACAGTAGAATGAGTTGTCTGACATTCAACCTTTGGTTAGTTATTTCAGTGTGGATATTAAAGATATGGCCAAGTGGAACGGTAATGCAGCTAAATTTATTCTTAAAATAAAATCAAGATATAAAATAAATAAAAAAACCTGCTGTGTAAAAACAACATTATGTGAAGTCTCGGAGGAAGTCTTCTTTGCAAGCGAGTTAATAAGCGTGTTTCCCAAAATGTCAAACTATTCCTTTGACACACTGTTATTTAGTTTGGTACAGAAACTAGAAGAGTAATTTGATAATTAATGGTGGGCGTCTATCCTAGTTGTTAAATACCACAGAAGGGCAACATCCCTGGTTTGTTTCCAAACAGGGACCTTTGTTGCATATTATATCTTTTTTCTTGTTTCCTGTTTGTGTCTACTGACACTGTAATAGTTACAATGCCCCAATTCTTCTTCAAAGGTCGGTAATGTTCATTGCATAAGCAGTCAGGTAGTCCTTTTCTCTAGCCCAAAGAAAATCTGTAAAACATGTGTACGAACACATACTGTATGAAAACAGTATAAGAGCTAAAACGGGGGTGTTGTGTTGCTCTTCAAGAATATGAATTAGAAAACTTAATTGTCACCATAAGACATTCATAAGAATACAACTCACAGGACACCGAAACTTTCATAAGCACTACACAACAACACATTAATGTAACATGCACAAAAACACACTTTTATCTGTCTGTTTTCCAAGAATACTCATGTGAACATCGTTATATAAGAGTCCAGTTATTCATAACATCACTTTAATTCACACATAATATAGCAGAAGTTTAGGAATGCAGTCTTTTCCTTGGCATTACTCCCACTCATCACAAGTATGACGTTCATATTGTAATATTCATATTACATACATCCTCAATGAATGATGTGTTCTCAGAGGGTTGAAATTTAGCTCAGGCATTTAGAAAATGCACAGATCAGCCTGAAGGGGGCACTACAAGGCTTGTTTACTTATTTATAAGTGATTTTAACACCATTCTTGTGTCAGGAACAAACAACACAACTAAAGCCATGATGGAAACAAATCATTTTTACAGTGCATGATGGCTTATCCTTTCCACAGGACAAAGGACATAAAATTAATAAATAAATGAAAATAAGTTTTAATAAAACAAAACCAAGATAAAATGACAATAAAATACAATAAAATGGCATTTAATAAAAGCTAGAGGAAAGTACTAAAAACTATTAAAGTCAGTAAGATGGTTAAAAAATGAAATTACAGATACAGATTACAGATAAATTACAGCATAATATGTTTAAAATAAGTTAATACAGTACGTAATGTCTATAAACCACTCTGTTATAAGCCAGGCTGAAGAGGTAGGTTTTAAGTTTACGTTTAAAGGTTTCAACACTTCCAGCCGCTCTCAGATCCTGCGGCAGGTTGTTCCAGTGGCTCGGAGCATAAAAGCTAAAAGCCGGTCTCACCAGAGGTTTTAGTGCTGCACTTTGGAACAACCAGCAGACTCGTGGCAGAGGATCTAAGGGGCCGCACCGGCTGGGATTTAAAGTTCCTAAACATAGCATCTCTTAAGAGCTGTTCGACAATTCCAACAAGCATCTGCTATCAATGTGTGCATGTTAAACAGCTGGTATGAGCAGAGTGTGACAGGCAGTGTGAAATAGAGTGTGTCTGCACATTAACACTGAAGATGTAATTCGTTGTAGTTTGAACACCAGTTTTACAGTTAAGATTATTGAGATTACCTGATTCATAGAACTATATTATATACACTTTTACTATTTTCTGATGTTTTATAGACCAAAGAATTGGTCAGTTAAACTGTGCAGATTTTTGACGAGCTTCATATCATTACAGTGTGAGTAGTGTATGTAAATGAACAATGTTTACCTTCCCTCCCATGTTACCTGCAACCAGATCTCCCAACTCTTTTGCCGGCAAAAGTCGTTTCGTGGCGGACTTTTGCCTCTCTCGATCCGACTGTTCGTGTAGGCGGGCATGCAAAAATTTCGGAAGTACCATCGGTAGTTCGACCAACAACCCTAGAGCCACGGACAGATCGAGAGAGGCTAAACAGCAGCAGCTCTGGGTTCAGGCAACATGGAGGGAAGTTAAACGTTGTTTGTTTGCACATACTACACACATTGTAATGATACAAAGCTGGTTAAAGCCCCCAAACCACTTTGGGTACAGCTGAAAACCTGTGTTTATTGTATTTAGTAGTGTTGTTAATTGATTCAGGTCCAGTTATTGATATTGTAATTTGAATTCTACATACAGTACTATAAATATGCATAGCGAACTCCCTCTACTACTCTAATCTGAGCTACTAGAATTTAGGAGTTTAATACTTTAAAAACCTGAAAATGTTCCCTTTAATCAAGTAAATTAGCACTCCTACGATATCCTGAATTTCCGTCCTCCCTTTCCCTAACAGGTGTGAGCTGTTCCGATGAGGACGAGAAGCCTCGCAAGCGGAGGCGGACCAACTCGTCCAGCTCGTCGCCGGTGATGCTCAAAGAGGTCACCAAGGTGTCCCCGCAGGTATCCAAGAACATCACGGTGCCGGTGAGCGGCAGCCCCAAGATGAGCAACATCATGCAGAGCATCGCCAACTCGCTGCCGCCCCACCTGTCCCCCGTCAAGATTACCTTCACCAAGCCCACGATCCAGACCACCAACACCACCACACAGAAGGTGAGTGGCACATATTCACGTAATCCTCACAATTCTTCCTTAACACATCTCTCTTCACAACACTTGAGGTTTAAAATGCTTCCTCTCCATTTAGGTGATCATCGTGACAACTTCTCCCAGCTCCAACTTTGTGCCCAACATCCTGTCCAAGTCCCACACTCACAACAATGCCGCGCTGTCGAAGCTGGGCTCCGCCTCCATGCTGAACACGCAAACCCAGAAACAGACGGTGGTCTTCCCGGCCAGCTCCAGCCCCTCCTCCAACGCCAACACTGTCGCAGTTACCACAGTGGTCTCCTCGACTCCTTCAGTGGTCATGTCAACTGTCTCAACATGTAAGTCCTTCCTCTGCACCAACAAAAATATTGTATTTTCTGGCATTTAATGGCAATAGACATAAGCGAGAGCTGTTTGGTCACCATTGAAGTCTCACCGTCACTTCTCACTGTTGCAGGCGCCGCTTCAGCTGGCGTGAAGGTGGCTTCAGCCAGACTTCCTTCACCTAAGACCCTGGTGGGGTCCCCTGCTCAGATCCTGGCCCAGTTCCCCAAACAGCAGTCACCCAAACAGCTGCAGCAGGGCTCATCTTTAGGATCTTCTAGTGTCAGCCAGACCCAGACCACCACCAGCTCACCTGGTTCAAAACCCACCATCCAGATCAAACAAGAGTCCGGTAAGCCTATCTGCCTCTCTATAGCTCTTTATTTGTCTTTTTCTTTCCTAATTACATTTATCTTTATCCCATTCTTTATTTCTTCTGCTCTTTCTTTCATTATCCTTTACTTTATTATTATTTTTATATAAATAATACAAATTTTAGTTCTCTGGATGTTATGGCTGAATGTTTGTTGATTTGTGATGTATGCTAATGAGTAAGCCGATAAAACATTTATTTTTCCATCTTTTTTGTTCAAATATTAATATTAAACATTACTTGGACCACAAGGGACCCTCAGTGCAGCAAGTTTTTAAAACATACACAACATGGCCGACTCTCTTTCTAAATCAAGTTCTCGCAGAAAAATAATAATTTTTTTCCTCCACAGGGGTCAAAATAATCACTCAGCAGGTTCAGCCAAGCAAAATCCTGCCCAAGCCTTCATCAGTGGCTTTGTCCAGCAGCAGCTCGTCCCCCATCATGGTTGTCAGTAGCAACGGCGCCATAATGACCACCAAACTGGTCACTCAGCCCACAGGTGAGTCCATCTTATCATCAAGGCAGCTTACGTCCTTTTAAACCAAATCAAATCCAGTAAACTATTATGGAATAGCACACATGGCTAAAAGTAAATGAGGTTTGATACCCAGGCACAATTATTAGATAGTAACACTATGTTTTTGTACGCAGCTACCCAGACCACCTATACAAGACCCACTGTTGGCCCCAGCATTGGTGCCAGAATATCCACCTCCAGTGGTGGGACCACTTACGTCAAAACCACCAGCGGCAGCATCATCACAGTGGTGCCAAAGTCTCTGGCCACTCTGGGTGGGAAGATCATCAGCAGCAACATCGTCTCTGGTGAGTCAGTGACCCACCCTGACTGGGGGTTAATACTGCGATTTTAACATCAATCAAAGCAGTTTTGTTAAGATCAGATATTGTCTTCCCTCTGCTACAGGCACGACGACTAAGATCACCACCATCCCCATGACCTCCAAACCGAATGTCATTGTGGTTCAGAAAACCACAGGAAAGGGAGCGACCATCCAAGGACTGCCTGGCAAGAATGTCGTCACCACACTTTTAAACGCCGGGGTCAGTCAAACACCAGTCTGTGATTTTTAAACACTGTGGTCTAGATGATTCATTTATTATCAGTTATCGCTCCAAAGACA